CCTTAGATTGCACTAAAGTAACACAGCAAACTCACAGAAACACACAGGTAACAACAGTTGGTACCAGCCAATGCGTCTCCTGAGTATGAGCCAAATCTACTACAACTTTACTCACATCCTGCTAGAAACATTTATTAATGATGTGGGTTCAAAATCACAGAATGTTGAAGGAAAAAGGCTGAAAATCATCATGTGTATATTTACTGAACAAAACCAAATATATCAGTGAAAACAGCCGATATTCTAATCTATGACCTCACACATTTAGGTGTTCTTCATGCTCTAGCACACCTTATGGGCCTACCCATATCCATCTGTCTGTCACTTTTCCCTACGATCTAGGCAGCCAGCATGACCAAAGTGTGATGTTTGAATACAATGTTGAAGCAGTGGGAAGAAGTCACTATTGGGGAACACTGTTACAACAGGAACCTAGGTCACTGCTGGCTCACAACAATAACCTCAGACCACATTATCACAATAATGAACCTTGAGTAATATACTTCCTTTCTTATTATTTCTGAGAAAGAGTGAACCAAGTCCAAATTCCCTTGAGCCATAGGTATCAGTGAGGTAACCTGCTGATGTCATCATTCATGTTATGGTATAAAGAACACCTTTGGAGTTTCAGTGTATTCAATACAGTACACCTTTCCAATTTTGTTACCAAAGGTGATTAATCATAATACTATCCTTGTATGTCAGTTTAATCTTATAACCATAAAACATCATTGATACTATAGTTAAAACCACAGCCCATAAAAGAAAACTACAAAGTAATGGCAACCAACACCACATAATTTTTTAATAAATTAGTATTTTTTATCTCCTATAGTTGGTCTTCAATATTTGAAGTTTACATAAATTTATCAGAACTGCTGCTGTTTCTGGGTATTGATTAGCTGTACCCAATAGACACAGCAGATTAGGTTTTATACTTTTACCTGATGATAGAAGCAGAGCCATCCTCTGAAACATATTTATTAACCAATGCTTGGGGATGAAATGAAATGTCCAAAAATATGTATTGGTTTAATAACACACACTAATCTAAAATGCTGAACTGCTTAGCCAGACAATATTTTAAAGAAAAATACTGAGAACATAAGTCAGAACAATACCATATTCAGGTAGATGGCATAAGTCATTACCTTTCCAGACACCGTCTTTTGATTGTTTTGGTTCCACATTAGAGCTTCAGTAGTCAGATGACCTTCAGCAGCAATTCTCATTTGCTCCTTTGTACAGCCTACTTCTTCCTTTTCTAAATTCACTTCAAACCAATTGTCTTCATACCACCCTAGTACACATAACATAGTACAAATACAAGAATTTTAAATAGAAGTGATAAGATAAAGTAACTATAACAATTACTCTTTTCATTATAATTAATCTTTGCCACTTCAGTCCACACAGGCTGTAAGTTATCTCAAAAATTATAACACATTTCTGTAAACAGCACATTTTCTCTCTTTGCTGCAAGTTGAGATATTTCTCAAACTTAATCAATGCAAGTCTTACAATAACAACCAAGAGATCTGAATTACTTTATATTATGAATTACTTCAAATAATGCTGGTTTTAGATTATGTAAATCCAACAAGTTGAGCCTTTACTAACACAAATTTCATGAAGTGTCGAACATTCCACATACACACCCTAACAAATGTCCAGTGCGTACAAATACCAGACCTGCCGGTCTTAATAACAAAACCCCAAATGACATATAACACACCCTTATACACACCTGTACAACAGAACAGGTCCTGCTCATGCCAGCAATCACATCAGCAACACAGCTTTCTGACAGATTAATATATCCCCTTCTCAAAATTTTGAAACATGTAATAAGTTGCAGAATGAAAGTCAAAAATAATGTTATCAAAACATACCCACAATTAACAATGAAGCAGTCTTTCTTGAGAAACTGAAAGTTGCTCAGCTACTGAATAACTTCCCGGCCCAAAAATTCATGTTCACAAAGAATCTGTCACAGGCCCTTATTCTGAGCCAATGACTCCTGTCCACACTCTTCTACCAAATCATACACAAGAATAAAAAAACAAAACACATTTAACTGAAAGAAATACACCTGAATAAAACTTTAAAATTTCCAATAAAACAAAGTAAAATGGCCAGGAAAATAACTGCATAGGTTTAAGCTGCACCATGTACCAGGCTACACACTGCTAAGTTTTGAAAATGTTTTGAAAATGACTCACCTATAAAGAACCAAACATAAGACTTTCCATAAAGATGCTGCTTATACATCTCACACAGTACTCTACGAGCTGCCACCACATAAAATAATCCAACTATGATTCGAGCATCCTGACGCCACAGGTTACGTACAGCATCTGTGGGGTCACTCAAGAAACTCTGTCGTGTCACAATCTCTATTCCACTTTCTTTACATCGAGCTTCAAGATCTTCAACTGTCTGCAAGAAGATTTACATACCTGTATACAATCCAGCAATTTTTTATTTATTTACACCCATTCTTAGCCAGGCTTTTCTTGACTATACTAACTGAGCTGAGCCAAGATAGCTCAGTCAGTATAGTGACTAGCTACGGGCTGGACGATCGGGGTTCGATCCCTGACGGGGACAGAGGATTTTTCCTCTAGCCTCTGCATCCAGACCGGCTCTGGGGCCCACCCAGCCTCCTCTAGAATGGGTACCGGGGTCCTTTCCCGGGGGTAAAGCCGGCCGGGGAGTAATGCTGACCACTCACCCCCATCTAGTGCCGAGGTCAAGGAAGAGAGGAGCTATACCTCCACTCACCCCAAACGCCTACATGGCATATAGTGGGACAAACTTTACTTTACCTTACTTTACTTTACATTCTTAGCCAGGCTTTTCTTGACTTAAAACTGCTCACTCCAATCTTTGAAAACTGCACAAATTCTTTCCTTGTTATGCGTTCTTTACAAGAAGTGCATAAAATGGATGCATACAGAGTTGATCACGCCTGTCTGCATGATTTATCACAAGAACCACTGGACAGATTTGAATTAAATTTGTTATGGACATTACTTAATTAAGACATGAATACCACATGATTTTGAGGAAGGAATATCTTTGTCTGGAATAAGATATAACAAATATGACTCCTGTATAAATGCTTTCAATTTCCCATAGCCTTCAACTATCCATTCACTTGCATTATAGATTATAACTTAATACTGACGTACAGCATACTCTTCTGTAGAAGGAAGTTATATTGAAGACTGCTTTAGATACATTTTCTGGTTTATGATATTTTAGCATCACCATTTCACTGTAGCAAATATTCTTACTTTTAAGTTACCACTTACAGAAATGAAAACTTCTTCTGCTTGTTGCAAGATTGCAACACGAGACCAACCAAACTTCTCCATCAGTTTGATGCGTGTTGGATTATGCACTGTAGCAGATGGATGTGTTCGAAAAAGAGTTGGGAAACGGTTGCGATCTGACAGTGCTGGAGAGCTTGCACCATAACATAACTGTTTACAACACATTCAAATTGATTAGTTTTAAAGTTTAAATACAGACTAACAATACAACAAGCAGCACTGGCATACAAAAAAGTATCTTCCTTCTTAATCCTCCAGTGCAATACTAGTATCATATGTGGTCATTAGTCAAGAACACAAATTTTAAATGCCTACACTGATTCAGGATTGGGTCCAGTGAATAAGTATGATTAACAATACTGTACTTCATGACATTGATAGTTACAAGCCTTAGTTTTAATTGATACATCAGGTTTATACAACAGCTATATCCAAACAACTTTATGTTGTATGTTCTTTTTTAATGAAAGACAACACTTCTTAAACTTTCCTTGGAAAACAATGACAAATGCAATGACAAGCATTTCTTCAGAGACAAAAAGGTGCACATTACATGAAGACTAATTTACTGACTCTATTATAAACTATGATGTTAAATGTGTATCTCACCACAACCAAGTTCCACATCTTGGCAGCTTCAGCAACTGTAGTGCAGACAGTACTGCAACCAGCCAATAGCATCAATTTCTGTGGCTTGTTGTAGAGTAAGTTGTACATCACGGAGGCTCCAAGGCCAGGCTCACACTAAAATGCAAATGTTGTTTAAGAATCAAAACAATATCATTTTGATTTCCCCTTTGAATTTCTCTCAACTTATGCTTAAATTAATTATCTAAATCAATAATTTTTTATATTTAGGGTTTTCCTTGATTTAATGCTTGAATTCACTGCCCCCAAAGTAACCTTTCATAGTAATTTACTATAACCATAACCAAATTATCCAATTGGCTATCAATTAGAGCATCTCTGGCTCTACAACCCAGTGTGGGTCTTGGCCACTTATTTTGGAGGTTACTTGATCTATTTAGACATTTGGTAGGACCCTTGGATGAGTGACCAGCCTGTTGCAAGGTCTCCACCTGTATACAGGACAGCACAACACAGAAAGACATGGACAAACATCAATGCCTTGTGTGGGATGCAAATTCACGGTCCCAGTGTCCAAGCATATAAGGCCCAAGCCTCAGACTGTACAGCCACTGTGACTGGCACAGCATTACCAAATTTACAGTGTAATTAAATGCCTGTAAAGTTCATACAGTCAAAACTCATTAATGTGCTATGTATAGCTACCTCACTGTCATTCCAGTGTAACTTCAGGGTAAAGCCTGTCAGTAGATCTTTCCTGTTATTGACATCATCTAAGGCTAAAGATGCTGCTGGCTCACACGCCTGCAACAAATTGTACACAAATATCATCGTCATCATCATGTTTGTCTGTACACAAACAGATTGAAAGTACCTAACTGTATGGAATAGAGTGATTCTTGAAGAGTTGATATTCAGCCAGCAAAAAAATTCCCAGCTTTTATGGAATCTTAAGGTTCATCAGAATTTTCCTAAGTGTCCACCAGTGATTCTACCTTGGGACAGCTGAATCCACTCCACACAGACATACTATATCTTTCGGGTCCATCTTAATATTATCCTCCCATCTACACACAGGTTTCCCTAACTGTCTCCTCCCTTCAGGGTTTCTGGTTAAGATGTTGTATGCATTTTTAATCTAATCTATGGCATTATATGTCCATACATCTAAAGGATACAATTTATGAAGCACGTCATTATGTAATTTTCTCCTTCCTCCTGTTACTTCCTCTTAAATCCAAATGTTTCTTCAGCATACTAATCTCAAACAATCTATGTTCATCCTCCAAGGTGACAAACTATATTAAACAACACTTACACACTTACACTTTACCTAAATATAAGTATACAATAGAATTTCATATATTTACTGCATGGTGTACTGAATTTCTCTCTAAAATCAATAAAGTGTCAATTTTATTTTTCAATTTTATAATACTCTGAAGGCCCAGAATGGCTGCAGGGACACACTCAATATATAATAATAATAATAATATTAATAATAATTTATTTACATTCCATGGATCCATAACACAGTCCGATGACGATAGGATGTGGAAAAAGTCATAATAATAATAATAATAATAATAATACAATACATATTATAAAGTACAATTCGTACTATTATATAAATTTCACATAATACAAAACAAAGTATTCACCTAGAGAAATGATAAGCTACAAATAGATCTACCCATTACACACAAGAAAAATTTATCACTTATTTGTAAACAACATAAATTCATTGACAGAGTAAAAGGAGTGTGTAATTAAGTATCTTTTTAATGCTACCTTAAATTGCTCCTTCTTATTTACAAGACCTGTGAGATTTGATGGTAGACTGTTGAAAATTTTGATTCCTGCATAATATGCACTCTTCTGAAAGCATGAGAGGTTGGCAATTGGTCTATGAAGCTGATTTTTATTCCTTGTGTTGACACTGTGTACAGCAGAATTAGTTTGAAAGAGTTCTTGGTTATTTACAATAAAGTTCATTAACGAGAATATGTATTCACAAGGTAGAGCTAAGATCTCTAATCTCTTAAATAGACTTCTACATGAATTTCTAGGTTTTACACCAGCCAATAATCTAATAATTTTCTTTTGTAAAGTGAATGTTTTTTTACTGTTTGATGAATTTCCCCAAAAAATTATTCCATACTTCATTAAAGAGTGAAAATAGGCAAAATATACTGATCCGAGTGTGGCAGTGTTGCTGACATGCAAAATTCCCTTTTTCTGCATTACCAGCTTCATTTACAGTCCATCCAGTTCATCAGCAAAAACAGCTGAGTATTTGTAAGGAGAGTAATGAAGGAAAGATATTTTTGGTTGCAAGTTCTGAATCTTTACTGAGGGGGATAAGAAACAGAATTATTCAGATCAAGTCTTCTTCTTCTTCTTTCCATACAGGTATTATTTTATGATTCCACCAAATGGAAACAGTGGAGGATCCAAATGTAATCCAGTCTTAAAACAAGAATACAACAATCCATTTGATTACATAAATAGTTTTGCTGTTTTTCTTTCCTTAACATTCATATTATGTATGGACATTAACTGGAACCCTTCTCTAGTCTGATTGTTTTGCGTCAATGTGCAAAACATGGTCAATAGAAAAGGGTTTTAGCTTACCTGTCCACCCTGCCAACCACCTTTTCCTCCTATAGGAAATATACCTCCTATATGCAGAACAGTGTCATCATTGTTACCATCCACAACTGCACTGCAGCTCTCGAGTATCTGAAGAGTAGTTATCAGAAGACATACTCCCAGTTTCTGGAAACAAAAATCACTCAAAATTGCGAACATTATGCTGCACAAATTGTTACACTTCAAGTTTATCTTGTCTCTGAACGATGCTAACGAATTAATTTTCTTATTTACGACTTACAAGCATGTCAAAATAAAACTACTTTTAAAACGTTGCCTTAAATTAATCTTAGTGGTTCCAATCACATTCAATTTTGTTGAAATGGGTGATTTTCACTCACGATTATATCACATAATGCACGCATATACGCACACGATAACCTTATATGTACGAGGTGCTTCGACTGCTGAAGTAAAAATACCATTACCAATGAGACATGGCAAAATGAAATCCACTTACCCCCTTCATACCCGTATTCCCACACATCTAATCAAACCACCTGCATATCGATCGCTGCCGAATTTCGTGCATTTACCATTCAAATGTTGCGCTCACTGGTGGTTGCAGAAGTCAACTAACATTACGACTAATATCAAAGCATACATTGTACCACTAATAGAAATTTAATTTTTAGATTTTTAAGCATGAATGTGTCCTTTATAAATATTCATAATAGTTTGTAATCATTTATAGCAACACATTATTTCGATATTTTGATATCAGAAACAGATAGGGCTAGAACGTTACGATATTGGTTACGGGGTATGTTGATTATCGCAGTCTTCCACAGATCAGCAGGTAATTAGCATGTAATACTATGTACTATCCTGTCGGTCTATAATTTATAATCTACTTTGGTACACAACAGTTGTAGTCAAGTTGTCTTCTTGTTATTCTACTGTTATGTTATTTTAGCGGAACGAAAACAATTTTAATCAGCTGGGGCCATCTGTCAGATCAGGCTTTCAGTTGTGTCCATTAAACATAGATTATGTCTAGGGGATTCGCGTGGTGGCAACGGGTCTGTGACGTGAGACCTTCCAACCGCAATATTAGATCGTTTGTGTTATCACTTATGATCAGTGCTTCACTGCGTCTATATATATTTTGGTGATGTGTCCTTGATATGTGCCGAACAGTTTTCTGGAAAAAATTACGAAAGAAATAAGTCAACCATATAAAACAACGGAGATTCAGTCTATACCGGCAGGAAATGTCTAAAAACTAATAATGGGGCTGTAGGACAAAGTATATCGATACTGGAATTGACAGGGTTGAAATACAGGTCTGTCTATATTAGAATTAATTAAGCAACGATTGGTACACCAGCTGTAAATCACTAGAATCGTCTGGTCAATGTGCGTACCACGTCGTTTGTAATGAATGATTTTGCATGTAAAGTTGAAGTTTGTTAATGACAACTACGTCTGAAGATAGAGCAGTGCAGATATTCCACGTTTTAATGGGTGTGTTATGTAAGATATGCCGCTCAACTTAACCACCTGATTATGCTGTTTTTACGTAAAGGGGGGGGGGATTACTTATGTATTCAAATGTGACAATGTTTGCTTTTTTCCCCCCTCAAATCCTTTAAAGCCCAGTGGTGTACCACCTAGTTTAAAATTCAGTAATTTATGTATTTCGTATGATTCTTATAGTAAACAGCGATTATTTCCTTGAACTGCGTTAGCCAATCGATCTTTGTAATGGTAAAGCGTTGTTTTCTTTGCGGTACGGACCGAGTTCTTTCATCTAATTTTGACGACTTCTCGCTTCAAAGGTACTGATGATCATGAAAGCATGAAGATCGGCATGAAGTAAAATTGTCCTGAATTACCATGCACACTTCTGCCTAAATTGGAGTTCTGAATACAAATTATTTTAAAAGACTTGAGCTTTCACATTGACTGAACTGGATTAAATGTTGCCAGGCAACATGCAGGCTTGATGCCTGGGAAGATTTTAACTCTCTCTTTTTTATTATTTTTATCTCCAGCAGGCCCCCTTACAATATATTTCACATTCAGTAATGTCTGATTTTCACTTTGAATGCTGACAGGAGATGAGTTATTCTGTCTGACATGTTTCAAAGGTTTCCTCTTGTCTTCCAAGTGAATGCTATGGTATTGCCTTCAAGTAAATATTATGACTACACTTCTGAACCAAACTTGTGATCCACATTCTGCTTCCATTTATGAAATAATATGTTCCAGATCTGTATCTTAAAATATTCTGTGATCTGGATTGGTGTTTCTCAAACCATATCCTTTGACTGGTTTTATCATTTGGCTCACTTTTCTTAATCATAAAAAATTTAGATTAATGTGATGGTTCTGAAAATTGCCCTTTTCACACCATATTCAAAAGCTGTTTTGGTCCCTGTTAGTCTCCTATGTAATGGATGCTACTAAGCAGACTGGTGTAGCGTGAGTGCTCTAGACATGTTTTGGTTCTGGTTCCTTAACTTGCTGTAGTTTTGCTATATGTAATGGACTAACAATTTATTAAATTAATGCGGTAGTGTATGGGTTTATTTCAACTTGGGACCGAAACTTGGCCCCATTTTATGAAAGTAGAGGCATTTATTCTTACGTTAATTTGTTTTAGATGTTAACAAGTCTTGGTCCAGTCTGGAGACAGTTGCTTAGATCTATACCTGCTTTGAATACTTTATCGGTACTTTCAAATCAAGCACAGATATCAACCATGAGTGATAAATTTGACTTGCCTTCAAGATATCATGGCTCAGAAAAAAGTGTGTGGTATGTATAACCATTCTGTTCTTTCTATATCAGGCACGTGTTGGTTGGTTTGTTATCATTTTCTTTCAGGGAATGTAGGCCTTATGTGACATTTGTGAATGTATGAGTTGCCACAGTATGGTGATCCTATGCTGTTGAGAGATTTTGGCTTTATGGGCTACTTACATAATACAACCATGGTAATGATGTTAGGGGAGGCCTAATATTATATTTATATATATATATATATATATATATATA